ACAACACAATAGGAAAATTTATAAAAGACAATAAAACGAAATGTCCAAAATCTCAAAAATCAGGTGTCTACAGGTTGAAATGCGGATCTTGTCCTAAAATTTATATTGGACAAACAGAAACACATTAACGAACATAAAAGAGCGTTTAAAAACAATAGTCTAGATTCTAATTATGCTATTCACTTAAACACAGAAAAACGCATTTTTGACGACAATTTTGATATTTTACATACAGCCACAAAAAGTAGAAAAATAGAAAAGTTGCATAATCTTTGCAGCATTATCTTTTAGACTTGTAAAAGAAAACAAATGTGCATCGCAAAGTTGCGAAACAATTGCAAGCTTTTTATTTTTTGAACTTGAATAAGCTAAATGAGGAGCATAAACACCATCTCGGATGATTGATTCCCATATTGGTGACATATAAAGACCTGAGTCGCGGTTAAGAGTATTAGGTTGTTGTTTTCGTTGGCAGAAGAACTGATTACATGCAATAATTTTAGTTTTATCGAATAAAATTTTATATCCGGTTTCATGATTGTGTTCGGCAACAGCTGGTGAGTCTATTTGTATTAGTCGTAAGACTCTTTCGTGTTCTTTGAGCTTAGTTGACATTTTTCGACCGGTCTCTCCAATATATTCTTTACCGCATATGCATGGAATGCTGTAAACTCCTGGCATCTCAAATGGAATTTTGTCTTTGATGGACCTAAGATGTTGAGAAATTTTTGGACAAGTGGTAAATCTGGTTTTGACGTTAGAATGATATGTGGTCAGTGATAATTTAAATGTAAGGAAGGACGACAGTGGCAAGTGTAGGAATGCTTTCGGCCCCATTGCTATTGGGAGGTTGTGGTGAAGTGTATTTTTTGATCGAACGCTTAATATCTTTAATGTGGAAATTATTAGAGAGAAGAGCAGAGGTAAGATGTTTTAATTCTAGGTTCAGTGACTCGGACTGAGATAGTTTTACAGCTCTGTAAACAAGGCAGTTGATAACTGATGATTTTTGGGTCGGATGGTGATGTGTTGTGTTAGGTCTGATTTTCCATTGATAATATCTAAGAATGGAAGGTTATTATTAGTTTCCAGACAAGCACTTTTCGATTAAGATGAGATGGTTTGGTTCCAGATTCTCGTATTATAATATATCTAAAATGATGTTGAGAGTTTCAGGAATAGGAACTGTGGTAAAGAGGGATCCTAGGTCGAAACTAACTAGAATATCTTGTGTATCTAATGTAACCATCAGTTTTCTCTGTAAGGGGTTTTAATAAGGAAGCTAGATATTTTGTTAGAGAATATGTTGGAGAACCAACAATGCTGACAATAGGTCGAAGGGGTAATCCTGGTTTGTGGCTCTTTGAGAATCTGTAGAGACGAGTTAGCAAGTTCGACTCATCAAAAACCGACGCAGGAGGATTCCAGAAGTTTTGTAAAAAGGATTACAGAAGCCTGTGGGAGTTTCTTTAAAAAATTAATGAATAGTTGCAGTTTAACAGCAATATAGTTAGATTAATTCTGGGTGGCTGATACCGTCAGCTGACACAATGAAACGCTTTATCTAGCAATTTAATGAAACCAAAAGTCTCAGTAGAAAAACGAAAACCGTTGTTACCAACGAAGATGTGACATGAATATTTTGCTCTCTTTTGAATACTTGTTTGAATAATAATTATAAATAAAATTAAAAATTTTTAGAAAAAAATGTTCAATCTCAATTGTTGCAGCACAATTTTCAATTCAAGTCAAACAAACAAGTCCACTTCAAAATATTATAAATATCACCCCTACAAATTTATTCCATTCTAAGGCTTATTTGAAGGGCATAAAATTCAACGATTACAATATTGCCAAGAAATGTAGAGGCATGTAACAGAGGAGCCCGATTTTTTGAGAAAAATTATGTTTGCTGATGAAGCAACCTTCACTAAACCACATAAAATTTAACCATTAAAAATACAGGATTTCTGTGTGATGGCCAACCGAATAATCGGATCGATTTTTGAATGCGATTCATCATAAAATGAGAGATAATATTAGAGAATGTTTGCGAAATCAAGGTGGATATACAGAAAACACTTCACGTTATATTTTCATTATTGTTCTTTTAATTATCGCTGTTATCGGTTTTATTATCGTTTGTTGTTGTTGATATTATTCTTCAGATTTTTTAGTATTATTGGTTAATTAAAACTTATTGAAATAAAGAAGAAGAACTACTTGAAGCTTTTCCTACCCAGAGTTACCCATTTTTCTAACTGATGGTTTCAATATAGCCATCTGTTTAGTTAACCAAAAATTTAAACTTAAATAATTTAAGAACGGTTTATCGAAATGTATTTTTGAAATCAGGAGAAAAAGATCTATCGTCATAATAGAAAATATCCTTTTCCTTCTCCATAATAATGTTTGTGTCAAAAATTAATCGATAATATCAAATTTGTTTCAAAAGTTGATATTAAAAAAAATGCAAGATTCTTAAGTTGGAAAATGATAATAAATAATAAAATAAAATGATTACCTATTTGAAATTTTTAAACAAAATTGGTACACTACTTTTTTAAGACAAGAAAACATGAATCAAAAAAAATCGAGGTCAGTATTTTGCGATCTATATCTACACATCTGTACATCAAAGAGGTATACTTAGTTAACAATTCAAAACAGTCATTTGGTATTTTAATGTGTCAAAATTTTGTATTTTTAAACAAAATACTTTACTGCAATTATAAACCTGTTTTTTTTTTTCACATATAAGTAAGTATACCTTTCGAATGCAGAAATAAATCGCCAAAAACTTCCAGTTTTTAAAAAATCTACAAATATCTTTTTTTTGCTCCCTGTTCTAAAATACCCAAGCATGCATTGATTAAGCATGTGCGAAGTATCGCTTCGAGATGAAAGTTTAAGCACTCGCTCCTCAGCACTTCGATCGTGACTAAAGTGGCGATTTTTTTCCATAATACACTGTTTTTTTTTACTTTTGTTAACCTACTTCATTTTTTTGACAATACACCAGAACCACGTTGTTTGGACTGGAATCAGCATCTATTATGTAATATTAAGATAACAGAAATTGCAGTCTCCTCCTCCGTGATACTTTATTTTGCACTCTTATCCCATTAAATCAGACACCCATAATTTAACGTGCCCTTTTATTAGCATAAAAAAGAACTTAAAAGTTACATAACAAGTGAAATGAATGATGTAAGTGATTCAAACTGAACTTTGAACCGAATCTAATCAAATGTTAGATACAATAACCGCCACGCCCTTTTTAACAAACTTTACATGTTGCTTTCTCATTGTGTTATTTCAAATTAGTGAATGGTGAATGTACAAGCTGGTTACTTCTAAAGTGATTACTATTGGGATAATGGAAACGGCAAGAGATACAACATTGGTTAAATGAGGAAATTTTTGCATTTTTAGAATTTAAAAAGAAAACCTAAAATGGTAAAATTGTAAACAAATCACCATATTGTATTGTCAACTTATTATTTAATTATCAATTAGACTAATGGAACTTCCTATTAATATAATACAAATTTAAAGTTGAACTTTTATAACTATCTTTACAAAATTTGTATACATTAGGTGCCTGTGACAGTCGTAAAATAAAAAAAAAATTACAGTATTTTCAATAATCTGCGAAATACAATTCGGCATTCAAACAAATGGATAATGAAATATCCGAATGCTGTGCTTTAAGAAATATATGTCTCTGGGATGCTACAGCTCCGCAGGATATTGTTTAACAGTAGCCTTTTCTACTATTTTGTAATTTACTTTTACGTCCCTAAGTTTTGCAACAATTTTTCCAAACACATTCCTCATCGTTTCGTAGAGAATGTTGCCAATACAGTATAATACAATAAATGATCTTTATGAAAATCTTAAGTGATTTTCCAACCGCATCGATGATTTTTTTTGAAAGAAAAATGAAAATCAATTGTGCAAACCTCTATAGATTCGCTTAGTAGAATTTTTATTAGTGCAAGATTTATGTTGCACAAACATCCTTTTATAGAACGGAAAAAATGCGTACACTGACTTCGATGACATTATATTTGACATAATATTTCAATTGTGTGTTTCAACAATTAACTAAATTTTTATTTAAATTAAATACATTCACAATTTTTTCAATTATCCATGTTTATTTTCCATATAGTTGCTAGATCACATTAATACTGTAAAACTGATGCGACCCAGACGGCTGTGATACTTTCGTAAAAATGATAAGTTCTCCGCGCATACACCAAATTTTTTTTAAACAGCGATCTGCACACTTGTTTTTCTTGAAAATTTAATCTGATACGTATTATTGGTTGGTTTGAAATGAGACGGTGTTATTGGTTGAAAGCGAGTTTTGAAATGGCTCGCGCATGCGCACATTGAATTGAATTGAATCATTGTAACATGTTGGCTTGAAAGGTGCCTGTATCATTGGCATAGGCAATCCGTTCCATATTCTTAGTAGTTATTCCTTAGTAGCTCCTCTCATTATTAAAATTTCGTTCAATTCTAATTCGTTTGGTTTTTGAAGTTTAAAGTATAGGATCGTACATATTTTTTTATTTCTTGTCATTTTTATTATCTTTTAATGATGTACTAGAAAAAAGCCAACAAAGAACAAAAGAACTAAAAACCAGTTTCTTTTTTTTTTATTTAAGCAGTGATATTTCAGCGTTAACCAATATCATTGGTATTATTGGGTAGCATCAGTTAGATTTCCTTGTATTACAACCAGTGGTGCTATTTTGATCAAAACAGAATTAAAAAAGAGGAAGAAAAATGTTAACTTCCATCCCGTCTTACTGGTCAAATAAATGTTGTTATTTTTTAAAAATTATTGGTTGAAATAAAATGTGTAAATGTCATAAACCTCTGTGGTTAGTACGTTGGTGTTGATTATGAAACAAAACTTTTCAAACTATAAGTAAAAAAAATGCAAGCGCACTTTTTATAGTCACGGTTAGGTATTATTTACTTACACAAGTTTTGAAAGTCCACACCATTTCGAACTCGATTGACGGACAATTAAAAAACTCTCACCCACACGTACCGCACATAAAATACATCACCGATTGCACCGGTAATGAAGAAGAGGTGAAGACTAAAAGCTGTGTAGTTATCAGTAATCATCGGCAAGCGAGAGAAAGGTGGAGTGCGAGGAGAAAGGGATCCTTATAGAAAGTTGTCTTTGCGGGACCGGGTGCCGCGTTTTCTTAAGGATGAGCGCGAGCGACAGAAAAATATTGCACCAACGGTTAAGTAATTGTCGTTTCTTAATATTTAATAACGCCCCACGCAACGGCTTTCTCATTAGATAGTCGAAACCTTTTGGTTTAAACGCCTCCTTGGCGATTTTTTCGCACCGTTTGAAGAAAATTTACATGCAAATGTGACAAAAGGCAACGTTCCATTCCATTGAAAACGTTAGTTCTTTTGTAATTCAACTCAATGAAAATGGAAATAGTAAAAATTCGAAGGTAAAAAAATATAGTTAAAAACGGTTAACTCTCTCAGTATGGAGAGGGTTTCCAAAAACATTTCGCTAAGTTCTATGGTCAACAGCATATTAATTTAATTAATTATTTTTAATTAATTTAATTAATTTCACTTCTGAAATTGTGAAAGAATTTGTTGTAAACTAAATTTGTCCAAAGCGGGAATGGATGTCGGATATTTCGAGTGAATGAAGACTGCTTATAACGAAGAAACAAATAACAAAGCAATAGCACAGTTTGAGTTTTTTGGCAATGCCTATGCTAGCATTAAAAAGCCGAAAAATTATTTGGTACTTTAAACGAGGAGATGTATCTTCCAATTCCGTTGTTTTTAAACAATTTAAACATTTCATCACCCGGAGTCTCTGATACCCCAAATCTTAGGGCGAATGAACTTTGGTATTTGTTCCACAAGAGCTTTCTATGGAACAAGACAATGTTGTAGTATCATAACATCATTCATGACTCTCATGTGTGAAATGACATTTTTGTTTTTGAAGTAATGGTGGGCTGATTCTAAATGATTCTGAATGTGATACAGGGAACACCAAGGTAAGGTAAGAACTTACTGTGCACCATACCTTGACGCTTACTTTGGTCTTTTAAGATCAGCGTCCAAATTCATCTTCATCAAACGAAAAAAATGAAGAGACCACTTATAACGACCTTTGTTTTGGAGCAACAACCAAAACGTTCCAGAACTGAATCAAAACGAAAAAGAGCTCAGACTCAGAACGAAATGAAAGAGCCAAGCAAAGCGTTGTTAAAGGTATAAAAATGTATTGTTTAGCATTGTCAAGAGTCCCTTGGAGTTAGTTCTTGTTTTTGGGAGTGGGGGGCTATTTCGACCCTCGGAAAAGTAAGTAATACAGTGTAAACCATGTCCAGAGTAGTTTTACGAAATCTGCACTTCATACCAAGGGATTGGATCCTTTTTCTGCGATACAAATCAACAATTTTCTTGACGGACGAATCAGGACTGTACTACTAATACACTAATAAAAATCGACTAATCGACTAGAGAGAAATCACAACACCAAATACCTTTGATTCTAAGAACAATCTACCATTGGGTCACAAAACCAGGAGCTAGCAACTTTACCAAAAAAATTAAAAACAGTTTTACAAATATACTGTCAAGACCGTGGGCTTATTTAAGCCTATTTGAAACATCTAACTAAACTTATTTTTCTTTCTTTAATAAAAAATAGATGTATTAATTATACTGATTATGACTTTTCTCTCGAAAATAAAACCCCGATTGCAATTTATTTTTTCACATGCCTCAACTTAGTGGTAATTATCATAATATTGACTCGTCTATAAAACATGACTATAGCAATCAATCGTATTGTCCCGATGTTGCTGCTTTCATGCTGTTACCATTATCAAAAGTATCAAAAGCGTCGATAGTATTAGCTCTCAAATGCTACTGTAATGGGTCATTTGGATCTGGAAGGTGGCACGGGGAATTCCAGTTCAATTTCGCCGAATTAATATATTGCCTACCCTAGCCAAGGTATTGGAAATTGTAACTTATAAGGCAGTTAACATGTCTTATGCGGAATCGACATATTCTTCCTGCTACCCAATCTGCATTTCGAGCTAACCAACCACAACTTCGCTTCAGCTCTGCAGACCATAGTAGATGACGTATTTCATGCCTACGATAAAAATGAAAAACTTTGTTTGGATCTTTTGGACTATAGTAAAGCTTTTGATGCGGTAAACCATAAAATTTTAAGTATTTGAGTTTGGGTGACTTAGCATTAAATTTCTTCCAAACCTATTTTTTAAGTCGATATCAGGGTGTTGTGAGCTCTTTTAGAAACATTGTTCAACAAACCAAAGAACGATATATTTCCTTCGAACGTCAATCTTTCGAGGTTATTTTGGTTGGTTATTTTTGGATGAGATAGAGTTAAGCTTGGTAATTTCGCCAACTTCAAAATAAACCTCAATGGGAGTGATGTTAGTCCTATTAAAGTGGGTAGAAATGTAGGGATAATCATGATTATGATTTACACTTTTAAAGGCATGTATCCGACATTCCGAAAAAGTTTTTTTAATAAATTACAACTTTTATACAGTTTGTCAAAATAGTGTGTCAAAATAATATATGTCTTTTATTTTTTGTTTTTTGCGAAAAATTATAGATAAGGCTAAAAGAAACAATTTTAAATTATTTTCATATATACAAAATATACATAAATATGTGAGAAATCAAACATTTTTTGTCTATTATGACATAAATAATAATAAACTAATTAATAAATTTATACTTAATAACCTATGTCGGGTTGTTATGGTCTGAGTGTTTTCGGATTTATGGTTATTTTTTGGTCAAAAATGCCCCTATTTTCAATACCCTATATTTTTGACGGCGTTTATAGATGAGACTAAAAGAAACAATATAAAATTATTTTCAAATATTCAAGATGATTCATAAATAAGTGCGAAATCTTACATTTTGAACGCACCCTGTATATTATGGCATTAATAAATACTCCCTTTTAAACTCAACTGTAATTTTACAATGCCAACAATTTTATAAAGTGATTCAGTCATTTATCCTGTCCTTGATGTTCGAATCGTTTATACAGGGTGAGTCAAAATGTAAAATATTAATTTTCGTGAAAAAAGCAATGGTATATTCCCCAGTTTGCCTTTCATGCATATTTGCACCGGTTATAAGTTTCTGATACAAATATAGGGGTTCAAGACATTTGAAACTACTACGACACAAATGAATTTCAACCCTCCCTTGGATTTTGAACCATTTTGAATATGCAAGGGCAGGTGTTACACGATTATATTTCCTTAAATTTTATGCAAATCTCAAACAAGAATTTTGCACTCTTTTTTCCTTTCTGGAGCAAACCATTCGAGGGAAGGAATTGATTTATAAAATTGAAAGAGCCATTAATAGGAGTAATTATTGGAAGTATAATATAATACGTATGAGTAACTATATTGAATACCGCCTTGATAATTTTTCTTGTGACTGTGCAATTATTATTATTACATACATTATTATTCTATTTACATAGAATAATTAAATTAGTGACCATAGTATTAACTTATAGGACTGTTAGAAAACTTTTATATTATTTATAACTTTTCTATCTAAATTATTTGTTGTTTATTTACAACAATTTCAAAATAAGTTAATAACTTTTATTTATTTATTGTAATGTAAATAAACATATATTGCTATTATTGTATTTTTACTAATTACCTAATTATTAATAATCCTATATTTGGAGATCTCGCTGGCTGCCTGGCTTATCCCTCGCCTTTTTTGTTGTGATTAGATCGTGTTGACACTAAATATTATATTTGACGAAATATTCAATCGAAAGTCCAAGTGCGCTACCTTATACAAGTTTCACAAATAACACAATTTATAAGCGTGTTGCATACTATTTTTTTTATGACACACTGAGTGCTGTGACGGATGCCGAACACATGTAGCTTTAAAGATCTACCAAAACCTTCTGAATTAGAAGTCTTAAAATGTGAAAAAAAATTATAATGGAAAGTGAAACACCCAAAATTTGATTGGATTTAATCGACGGGTATAACGTTAATCATTAATGACAAACATGAAAAACAAAGGTTTGATCTAAATGTAGAAAAAGTTTCTAAATAATGTATATACTATTGCTATGGGGAGGTCGAAATGTTCTTTAGCATTAGAAAGCGCTATCTTTAATCGAAGTTTTATGTCTTGGTCAGAAAGTGTAAAAAACATATGTTTAATAAATATATAGCATTTATAGCTTTAATTGCAGCTCAGTCCGCAAACTTTACGATGCAGGAGAAAAATGTAATTAAACGATCTCCTAAATAGGAACTAAAAGGCTATGATTTAAGATTACGGGGGAAACTGCAGGCGAGTATTAATTAGAAAAAAATTTGCAAAAGAAAAAATTCGATTATTGTCCTTTCATTTAAAATTAATAAAAATGATTTTATTATAAACAAACACAAAAATATTCACAATATTATAAGTTTTGCTTTTATTTGGATAGCAGTTGGAATAATTATGAACGTTTTTTTTTTTTCAGTGTGATTTTTACACCAGTCAATAGTTGACAAAATTGATATATTATCATGCAAATAAATTAATTAATTATAATAATTTGAAAAAAAAAAACACCACCGTAACATTTCCTGTTAGAGATATCATTGTTAAAATATCATTTAGTAATTTTTGACAATACGCTCCAAAAAACAATCTTAAAATGGAGGGACCCAGTAGGCATCATCACATTTGTTTGCGATGTATTTTCATTTTACCTCGGGGATTTATTTTTTTTTTAATTAAAAATATGATTAATTTGGTTTTCAAAATATAAGGTTGTCAACAATTTATGTTCGTCATTTACATTCTACATTTTTTAAATAAAATTATATTTTCATACATGATCTTATATATTTTCAAATGTCATTATTTCACATTATGAAGATGCCAACCGACAGTTTTTATTTTAAGTTGTGGAAAGTTATTCGGTTTATGATCAAGCAATTAAGAGAATGGACATTATATGCATTTGAAAGGCGTGTCTAATGGTTGTTTAATTGCACTAAAAAAATGGTTTTCTCTTCAAAGAGGCAATTTTTTTTTGTCGAGATTCCAGATAGTGTAATGTAATAATAATAATAAAGATGCTCCCTACGATTTTAATGTTAAATGACTTTTACGCCAAACATTTATAAGTTTTATATAGAAAAAGTTAGTAGTTCCGAATGCCATTAGAATTTAGTCCTTTACCAAATGGTATTAGGACTCCTTATATCCATCTCAATCCTAAAAACAACAACCTGAAAATATTTATATTTTAATTTGAATTAATCTGCTAACGGATTAAAAAAAATAAAAATCAATCATACACATTTTTAACACAAAAATAAGATAGATATCAGAAATCTTAATTGCATTCGATGGAGAGCTAAAAAACCAACTTTTTTTATATATCCGGTATAGGATCGAGCCTTAAATTTGATAGTTTTCTAAATCTAGGGTTTTTTTTGCTAGAGGGGCAAATGTGATGGTCAAATCTTGAACCATTTCCGAATTATGGTGCAGATTTCACCACACTGTTTGTTGTACCTCATCATTATCATTAGCTTAAAATTATCGTTTTTCGCGTCGCAAATAAAAGAGTTTTTCTCCTACAATCTGATTAAGAATTGGATGGGCGCCAGAATTTTCCTACCCAAGTTTTGTACTAATTCAGTTAGTTAATATGCGATAAATAAAACTCTTCTACTTACATAATCCACAAATTTAATTATGAGAGTTACCTTCGTACTGGTTCGCATGGTAAACAGAATAAGCAAAAGTGTTACTTATGTATATTTCAACAAAAGACAATTGTAAATCAAGTGCAATCAAAAATGGGGCTAAAGCGTATTTCCCAAACACTTTTAATTAGGAAATTTGAACGTGACTTAGATGGAAATATAAGTTAACAATTTATTGCTTCTGATGCTTGCGAAATCCTTTTCACAATTTCGTAACTAGTATAATTTAAATCTCGACAACAATCTCTTCGCTGAATACATGTGCAAACATTATTAAGCAGAAATCTTTAATAGCACAAGTCTAAACATTTATTGAGCCAAAGCTTGAACAACGTGAAGTTGTAGGTAGCAAATTAGTGAATTAAGGTCATTATATACTGGCGAGCAAAATATTTAGGTAACTCAAGAAATTTCAAATAATTTCAATAAAGTTTATGATTGAATCGTCGGTCTAGTAGGCAATGAAATAATTTGCTTTCTGACAAATGTGGATAGAGATATTTGTCATCTTCAGTCAGTTATTGCCATCGTAGTTTCGACTTTTTATGAAATAACGTAAGTTCGGTCTGTCTAAAAATTCGTGCCTTAGGTACTTTCCAATGTATTGTTAATATGTGTATTTAATAGGTGTATTTAACTGGTCATACTGCAATTATGCGCTATTTTTGTGGCTAAAATTTTAGTCAAACGGGAAATTGCATGAATTGTTGGTAGCAGTCTATGTGCTGTATAAAATGTTTACCAATGCTACGACGAGAGTGGGCTGTAGGGCCGCCATTTCAACGACGGCATTGAATAGCAAGAGTACCTTTTGTCCTAAATGGAATGGAACAAAATACTGTTTTCCGATAAATCCCGTTTTTGCCTCACTGAGTCAGGTGGAAGTCGAAGAGAATGGAGGAGGACCGGAAAAAGATATGCCCCAGATAGTATTGATGAAAGACTTCCACAGAAGCACTGTTGATCACCATGGGCATTTTATGCACGATAATGCTACCCCACACTGCCAGAATTGCCAGTCAATATCTGGATGAGGTGAGAATTAGCTGGTTTGACTGGCCATCACTCAGTCCAGACATGAATCCCATCGAACATGTCTGAGATGAGATGGGACGACGTATTAAAGACTTACAGGAGCTCCAAGAAGGCGCAAGAGCTGAGAGATTTACTAATGCAGGAATGCCTCGTCGATTACAAGCAGTCATAAACGCAAGAAGAGGGAATACACGTTATTAATTTCTCGGTTTTCTTAATATTGTCAATTGTTACTCGTTTCTTTAGTTACAAATAAAAATTAATTGGGCTTTGTTTATAATAGACATTTTCTGCTTTCCGACAAAATAATGAAAGCCAACCTAAGATCTTCCGATTAAATATTAAATTTAGTTAAGCAAATAGAGTAAGATGGATAATTTATCACCGAATCGATTCGGTGATAATTTTTTCTCCAAAATGACTGTAATTTTTTGCAGGTCAGTGTATAACATGAGTTCTTTTCTATCATAAAACTTTATTTAACCAGGAGTAACAATATTTATCAAGTTTAATATATAAATCATTAAGGAACAAAGTAATGCATGAGCTAACCAAATTAATTAACTAATTATATCCAATATCTGCTACATTACAAAAAGGGTTTTATTTCGAAAATATGTATTACTTAATGCCTTTTACCAAATGAATCTTGTGAGTGAATAAAAATTGGTACGGGAATATTACTTGTGTAGTTTTTGGATATTTTTAATAATATAGCAGCACAGAGAAAAAAAAACGCAACTATTAATTATAATTGGTTGCAGAACGCAATGACTGCAAACAATATATGTATTTAATTATTGGACAAATCGACCATAAGATATGCCCCAAATTCTTTTAGAATGCTGATTGGCATTGGCATTGGCATTGTTTTAGTTTATATTATCTGTGGCCATGTTGTTTTTGTTAACCGTGTATGTTTCACTCATTCAATAAATAGTAACCACACCGAATAGCTTCATAAAAGTGTCACTAGCTTTTATTAAAAGGTCACCTAGTGAAGTAATATTAAAAAGAGTCACTTCAGTTGACCTGACTTCACTGGAAAATTTTGTTTATGAGAAAATGATGATGAGATGAGAGATATTCACACTGAGTGGTGCGCAGCTGGTTATGATATAAGGAGCAGTTTCCTCCTCTTACCAGCGTTTATAGTTGCGTACGTGAAATATCCGTCAGTTTTTTCAATGTTTCTCGGACAATTAAGTAGCGGTCCCGAACTCGTCTTCACGGAGGCAAGAGCTTGGATAGTCGTCGACAGTAGCTGCACCATAGACGCGCCTGTTCGAGTATGCTGTGTTGAACCTTTTCATCAACACATTTCCTAAATCTCCTCTTGGAATACGCTGGGATAGGCCTCAAGAGATATTGTTAATATATATATCAAAAAGACATCGCAATCCCTCGCTATCACAGAACCATGAAGTGGAGACGAAGCTTTACAATATGCCAACTGCACAAACTGTAATGATTATTTATTGCCTAATCAAGATTTCACTTGTGATCATAAGTTTCATTAAGATTCTATAAAAAATGAGAAAAAACTACCAAATAGAACTCTAGGACAGTAGGAAAAGGACAGATATTTTTAGCAGAATTACTATTATTGTCTCACATTAAAATTTATTTACATTAGACAAACACTTATTAAGAATATATATAAAATTATTTATATAAATAAAACCGCTTTTATTTTAAACTCGGCGAAGGTCAGCTGCTCCGTTAATTTAACCAAGTATGTAAGAAGACAATGCAAATTTAATTTAGTATACCAATTTTACATACAAAGTTATGAATCAAGCAATAAATCAAAAAAGGAAAACGGCAAAACATACAATATAAAATAAAGAGAACTAATGACAATATAGGTAGTTTCGCGAAAGAGATACTTTTTTAAACCAAATTTAAAAGCGCAATGAGAGACATTCTGTGATTGACTAATCTGAGCATGGACTTCTTAATTTTAGGCATTTCATACTGACAATTGCAGCGGGTTCCACGGAAATGAATGCGGTTTCTACAAGTCAGTTTTTCCAATAAATATGACGGGCATCAATTTTAGTAGTTTTTGAAGAAAACAAGCAATATATCTTTAACCATTTTAAATCATGAAGCTTATGTCTTACATGATCTCTTCGCTTACAAATAAATCGAATACAAGAATTATTTACTTACATAATAAGACAAGAGCATTTAAATAGAATTAAATATTTTTTTACAATTTTTTAGTAAGTGCCTTCCAATTATTTGTTATAATAGAGTATTTATTAAAAAATAAATTTACTAACAATTTTTTACGTTATAAAAATAATAGGAATTTTGCGGTCTAGAAGTGGCCTCGCCACGTGCTCTTCCTCTTGGTAGAGAGTTCTGTTATTTCCCACATTGTCTTTGTGTTACCAACCTCTTTACTGTTCTTCCGTAATATTATTTTCTTCCGCTCGCCAGAGCCAGTCATCATTACCATTTTTCCAAAGTTTCGACATCCCATTCGACCTTAATAAAAGTCCTTTTCCTATGCAATAAATTAGGATAAGATAAAAGTGATTCAATTAATACGTAAAGAATATTTTTTTGTTCCTTTGAATTATTAGCAAATATTATTTTTTCATTGCGATAAAATGTCTGTTTGTTTTCATTTTAATAACAATTTCAGTTTGGTTTCGGGTTTCCAGTAAAAATTTCACAGTCGAGCCGCTTAGATGTCGCTGCATCTGCTGATCTAGGCGTTTTACCTAATCAATATATACGGAAGCTTTCAAAAATGCAATGTTCCAAACACTGCTCCAGGTAATTGAGTTGTTATTGTTTCTGAATTTTATTGGAGATTAACGGTTTATTGATTCTAGTTATGCTTTATTATTTCCTTTGCGGGATTAAATCCAGCGGGTGGTGAAGTATTATGGAAAAGGGGAATCGACAATTCAGTTCGAGGATATCTTACAGAGGTTAGGAATATTTAAAAATAATTTTTTTACGCTACTATTTCCTTTGTAATGATTCCAAAGGCAGATAAATGTAATTTGGAAAACATTTCTTGTCCTTTTGTAATTCATTAAAATTACAGTTTCTATCTACAAACCGTTACAAATATAGTGTATTGCTTGCTTGAGTAAATTCTAAGTGATATTCTTTCCTTGCCGAAAAATGGCAGTAAATATAATTATAAAAAATAAAAAGGTTTTAACAGTTTGTAAAGTGGGTGATTAAAGCAATCGAAAAAATTGCAATAGTGGAAGTGAAATTGTTTTACTAAAAGCGATGATTATAAATATTCAGGAAAAGGCTTTTCTAATAGAATATAAAAAATGTATATGTAAAAAACATTAAAAGATAACAATGTAGTTCCAAAAAAAATTCAAAAAAGCAAATAAATTAATTTTAATAAATTCCATCAAGTTATTCTATTTATCTATTTAATTTTCTAATTAAGCAAGGAGTAAATCGCAGAAGGACGAGTGCGAACAATTCATTTAATTACTTAAATTCATGTAATTACTTAAAATTTCTTATAATTCTTTTGGAATTCCTTTGAATTCTCCTCAGTATTCTTAGACATCTGTATACCACAATTCCTCTATGGTTCACCCTTACATTTTAAACGCAATTTTGTAAATAAATATTTTATTTTAGAGAACTTGCTGGTGGAACGAAGTATGCAAAGAAGAATTTCAAAGCCTCTTCCGTTGCAAATGTCCCGAATGGTCATTTTGTAGAGCACCTGGACGTTACTATAATGCATTTTGTTCTATGACTTCAACTGGATATATTTGGTCACAACCCGGACTGGACGAAAAATCAATGCAATGAATTTTCCAAAGAAACTATTATGTTATTATGTCATAATACAAATTACGCATATCGGAAATATAATTTATGTTTTAACTTACCGTTGCTTTTATTTCCTACGCAAGGGAAATCACTTGCAATTAAGTATGAATAAGTGGGTCAGTATGGAATTAATATTTTTTTGGAATGGAAAATAATGTTTTTACTTCCCATCATACAAAACTTTTTTTTCGCTAATAATTTTTTGGAAAATGGACTTTTGTTTCCCAAAAATTCGCTGATTTCTTGATCGCAATAAAACGCCTTTATGTAGGTAAGAGCGTCTCTGGAAATGTTTTAAAAGAACATTTTTTCTCGATGTTAATAAAATTGCAAAAAAAAAATCGCGTTGAATCAACTACAACCAGGCAATAAAACCCACATTTTTAAGTCCAAATTAAAATATTTTAATTTTGTTATTGAGCCCTGATGAAAAAATTATATATTTCGAAATGTCAGCAAATTGAATTCTAATTTTTATTGCCGGCAAGACCTTATAACTCTATAACACCTTTCGATTAAACAAAAAAGCAAGGGAATCTATAAAAACTGTAACTGTAGTACTTATAATAATATATACTTATAATTAAAAAAAAAACCTTAACTGTCAGACAACAAATTCAAAACAAGTTGACTTATAAGTTTATGGGAATATACACATGATAAAACAATTGAATTTTTTTTTTCTACTTCCATCTGTAAAATGTCTAATTTCGCACTGATCTAGCGTGCCACGTCAGTTTCGTTTCCCACGAATCAGAGCCACTTCGGACATTTCCGGGATTTTACAGCACGGGTTTGGGAGCAATCGAAGATATTTCCCACGCCTTGAATTTTGACGTTTGTTAATTTTGACGGTCATCTCAATGAATATATTGTTGTTGTTTGGCGAAAATGTACCCAAAAACTAACGGTCGTAGAAAAAGTATTAAGTCACTCGGTTTTTAAACCCTCGCTCCGCTCGTGCTAAATAAACTCGTGAGTCAAATGCCGTTTGCCGCACTGGTTGCATAATATACTATTACTAGCATTAAAAATATATATACTTGTAGGTTTAAACGCACGCATTCTTTTTTAAACAAATAGCTAATATATTGGAGGGTTATATGACTAATATATAAATGAAAATTTCGAAGAGCACTTTGAAATGTTAACTTTGAACTCGGAAATGTTAAGGGTTAATAGTTTTCGCTTTGAGGTAACGATAAATCATTTTCTGCCATTTGTTCGGTACTGTTTATAGGACAAACTCGAATAAAATGCAATTCACAGATTTATAATTGTTTTGGAGCACAACATAAAATTTAGGTATCGTGAGGCAAAAAAAAATGCCGAAAATTAGTATAACGTTGATAAAATTCTCTCATTTCTATATCGACACTTTGACCCTCGAGTACTACTTAACCTCAGAGTTATCACTGAATTTGAGTCAGTTAATCTCATGAATTAATCCCGGGGTCCCAATCCTTACGCGATAGCATAGATATACGGGTCAATATATTTTTTTTATTACATATTACTGATAATCGTCGATTAAATTGTCGATAAGCAACTATCGGTATCTTTTTAAAATATGGCGTAGGCGCAGGAAAATGCTCTCTCATCTATCACCAATAAAATAATATAGATATTATAATTATTTTTCAATAGATTCTCATACACTAAAGTATTTTGTAAATCATCTTTCTGAAATAAAACAAAATCGCCATTTTGTAAAATCGCGCATTATTTGGTAACGTCGTAAATAAAAACAAGAATTAATTAACGAAAAAATAAACCAAATAATAAAACCGTCACAATAATGTAAAATATTACAAGGTTGTGCTTTTTTATGAGCTACTATCTACTATTAATCATCTAATTAATAAACAAGGCAAGACCACCTACAGTTTTTTTTCCTCAAATCTATATCTTATACTATGGAGAACGGAAAATTGGGACCTACTCAAATTATATGGAAAAAGTTCTTTCTAATTTAAAAAATGTCACATGGTGCTTATTTAACAATGAACTTAAAAAAACTTCATTTTTGAAACTATAGAACACACTGACCACTTCATTCAAAATTTCCTCCATACGCGAACCATATCTTTGCAAAAATCTTAGAACTTAAAATCAGAATCGTTAAATTAGATAAAGCACAGTTTTTATTCGCTTCAACATGCTTAATCATGTATCGAATAGGAAAGCGAGTGATTCCGATCAAAGCGCAGTGACACGTTATAATAGAGTGAAAAACAGACTCTTGATTCGATCTAACAGCAGGACGTACATGGACCGGGTTAAACTTTTTTCTTACTTACTTAGTTTACTTTTTTACTATAGTAAAAAGTGCAGGTCCTATTTTTTTGACATGGTTGGAATTGTGTATTATTGAAACCGCTCCCAAATTACTCGTTTGAATTAGAAATACTTACAAGGCACAGCAAGGTACATAAGCACCAACAACTGTATCATATGCATTTATAAAACTCATACATTTCAGCCCAAAATATAGCAGAAACCATATATCTTATCTGAAAAAAAAAAGATATATTAAATTGCAGATCGATTGTAAGGTCATTTTCAGAACTAATATTGCATATCTATTAGTAAAATGGAAAATGATAAAAATGATTTCTACTTACTACTTTCTACTTACGCAGGTTTAACTTTAAAAAAATATATTTTAAATTATATTCTAAGCATGTTTTTTCATATCGAATTCTAATATAAAGATTATTTGAGTTGTATTTATCAATTGAAGTTTGTTTTATCTGGTTGGGTGTTAAGTGACGGCATAATAAAAATTCGTAGATTCTTTTCTTCTCGTTTGTTCATCTAATGATCATTCGTCCTCAAGACACGAAGATTAATAAACTTTATATCGAATATCTTGCTAACACGACACCCACTTTTGCCTGTGGTAAGTACCTATATGATGTTTTAATAATAAATTTATTGTTATATTAATCTAAATTTCATATAATCATATAAGCAAGTAGCAATAAGTTTTGGAATTCCAACTGCCTAGTAAGTTCAGATACTGTTTAGGCCTCAATTTATACAATGAATTTATACAATAATTATTAAGTATTTATTAGTTATTTAGCTTCTCAAGGAACGATTAGTTAGGGAAGGGTAACTATAGGGACACATTTATACTATATATAATACTATAGGAATCGCAAAACAATTGCTTTTGATATGAATTGTAAACGTTAATATAGAGTGATTAATTAATGCCAACGGCTATATTATAGCAATATAACCTTTTAAATAATCCTTTACGGTGGCGGGGGTTTACAAATCGATTTTTTCCTCTTAGATTTAAATTGTGTGTTGATGTGTTGGTACCATAATTCAGCTGATACTGGTGATTGCAATCTGTCCGAACACGTTCATATTATTATCGGACTTCTTATAACCCTCTTGCCTAGACCGCTAGTTCACGATACGTTTAGTTCATCTGTTGCAATATGCCCTGCCCAATTCTACTTTAGGGCTGTTATTTTCTCTACTGTGTCCAGTTCGTCTACGAATTTCGACGTTTTATAATATATCTGAGGTCAGTCTTAGCATTGATTGATTTTCTGTACAACTTTTTTGGTTACTGTCAGGTCGCAGCACCGTAAAACACAATGAGTTTTAAGCAGATCCGACATATTAGATTTGAATATGTGCTTAAAGCAATATTCGCCTAAGCAGTTCGTGTGTTTGATTAGCTCTACTTATACGGCTCTCGTGACTTAGGTGTTAAAGGTCTCCTCAAGCTGAATAACATTCACGCACCAAGAATGGGTTAGTCACGAGCCGTGTTTTTGACACATTAGTCTGCCACGCTATGTGAGGCAGTCTATGTAGGAACATCATGGATATTGCGTCAATTCAGTGTACTACCAGTATCATGTCATCTGCAAATCTTAAGTGTGTGATGTCTTCACTGTTTATGTTGATACCAAAACTTTTGAAACATACAGATTTAAACATATACTCAAGCAGATTCGTGAATAGTTTTGGCAAACTAATCTCAATCTGGCAACTCCCCTGTTTACCCTGAATTTGTTTGTATTGTCCCGCATTCTAACGAATATTTAAATGAGTGGTTTTTTGTATTCGATCGACTTTTCTATAAGATTCTTCAACACTTGCACATTGTCGTTGGTGCCGAACTCTGACTGAAAGCCAGTCTGTTCTTTTCGTTGGCAGAGGTGCAGTTTCGCACATAATCTGTAATAATTTTGTATTAATATGAGAATGTTTACTAAACATTTCTATCACTGAAGACTTAAGACTTATTATTAGACTTTAGAATTTTGTATTAATATGAGAATGTTTACTAAACATTTCTATCACTGAAGACTTATTATTAGACTTTGTAGTAGCATCGCATTTATAGGTCATTAATGACCATTACGTCTTCCTCGGCGATTTTATTATTTTTCATATCGCATAACGTCTTTTGTAATGGCTCAGATATCCTCTGAGCACTGGTATAACTTTAGGGTTTGGATCAACAATAATTCCCTCTGCATTTGGTCCATTCTCTCTAGAATTCGTCTAATATTTTCGGGATTTCTCTCTTGTCAGTGGTTATTAAGCGGTCCTTGATGCGCAATTTACAGAACTGTTTCTTTTCTTTGGAGAGTTTCTGTCTCAGTACCTCCAAGCTTCTATTCTCTTTAATTGCAATGACTTCTGTGTTGGACGTTCGGATTTCGTTTCTGATAGCTTTGGCTATATTTTTCTTAAGATATATCATTCTTGGAAGCTTGGTATCGTGTTTATCCTGTAGTTCTTTTCTCCCCCTCATCATACCTTTGCTTTTGTCACGAAGTTTTGCATCGCATATTCTTATTTTTGAGCAATTGTTTTATTCTATCCTGTTTAAAGAATTTAGTATGTTCGCATTTAGCTCGTTTGTGTTCTCATTTTCTATTGCCTTAGCTTTTTGTTGACCTAGACGATTATCTAGTTCATTTTGGAATTTTTCTGTACTTTTGGGGTAGTCCAATTCTTATTATTTTACCTCAACTTAACTAACTTAAATAATATCATGTTATGATCACTGTCCATAATAACTGTTTATTTCTGTTACATCCTGGACTTTTCAGTGGAAGCTAATTAAAACTAATTCATTCATCGTCTGGGATAATCCAGGTCAACTTTTGTTTGCGGTTTTTTGGTTTAAACTTATAGAATGAAGGTCGTTTTCTTGTAGGAAACTAATAAATCTGTCAATTTTCTCATTTCTTTTTCTATATTCATATCTTAAAATCTCCCATCAATAGGGTGAATGAACAGGGGAATTACATGGTCACAGAAAATATCTTCAAGTTGTACGGCGTATTTATATACTTTTAATATCTGTTATATATTGTATATGTTTTTTGGCCACACCATCTTCAGGCCCGTCTCGTTGTTAACTTTTTCAAGTTCTTCCACAAATTCAAACAGTATTTTTGTGACGGTCATTTACGTTCTACCACACTGCCCATTGTGGGCTGGTGGGGAATGCGATAATAAAAGGATTTAATCTTATAAGTGCCGTTAATATTCGGTAGCCATTTTTAAAGGTTATTTTTCTAAAAAGATAAGTATTTTAAGCCACCCCGAGTAAGGTAAGGGGAGATGTGACCTCTTCTTCTCACTCGACAAATTAACTTTAGACAAGAGTTTTGTACCTTCTGGATATGGTAAAGATAAGTAGTCTCCAATCATTGTCCGTATATAAAATTACTTATGGCAGCAGAAGCAAATCAAATAACGGTTTTCGGGTTTTCTCGATAAGGTAATTAGTTTCAGATAATCATAGTCAACATTCGGTGTAACCTAAGGCTTTTATCCGATTCAGAAAATGGCAAAAACTATATTTTTCGGTTTAATTGTTATGTTACCTGAGTTGTATAAAAATAACACCAAATATATGAAAAGTTTTCACAGAAATCTGATAAAAGTAGCATATCACAGCTCGTGTCATTGATGTTCGAACATAGAGGTCGAAGTCAAGTTAAAAAGAAAACGCAATACTTTCCTATTTGACAACGTCGTAGGCGGCGATCACCGTAGTACAAGAAATTATTTACGTTCTATATTGTTATCAGCTTGCAATTTGTTCAACATTAAAAAAAATCGCTATTGCGGAAATAATCTTGTGGCGAAACTCTACCACTGGCGCGTGACACTTCTAACCAAGTTCTCCATGCGCGTCAACGAAATCCGAATTCTTCTTATCGATCTTGTAAAAACAGCGAACAGTGCTGGCCATGGCCCCTACAATTGTTCGTCTATTTACTTGTTTTCTGATCGGACAGTGTTTGGTGATTCAGAATTTTGCGTATCCGAATGATTTCGAAAATGCAGCAGGATTATACGACGAAGTCAAACAATTATTGTCTCTGCAACAAGGGTCCGCGATTACGAATCGGGTAAGTTTGAGCTTTAACAGGAAGACGCATCATCATCATCATCATCATCAGAGTCTTCTTTGTTTTTTAAAATGCAGGAGAAAAGAAAATCCATTTAGGGACCGTTTTTCAAAAATTCGAAGCATTTATGATGTTTACGCAACATCTTGCTTGCATTCTTATTTTGTACTGGCAGAATGAATCTTAAATAATGGAATCATCTGGGGAGGTGAACAAGACAATTCCTTCTGCTACCTTATTATAAAACGCTATTGTTCAAACGAAAACTTCACTGTTTGAAACCGGTAATCTTATGTAAATATGTCCTCTTTCTTAATAAGGGTATTATACTTTTTTAGTTATCTCTTATAATCTCCAGCATATTGTGGTTGCAACAGTGTTAATTTATAATTAGAAAAATAATTTTGGTAGGTGTTGGTTGATCGATCTTCCCTTCATGGGAACAATTTTCAAATTAAACGTTTTTGTTTGCTATAAAAAAACCCATGTATTTAATTGTTTGGGACGAACATATACAGTGCTCCTAAGTTTTAAAACATTTATTTACATTTTCTCACCTGCTCCATGTTTTTAAAAAGCAATTTTCGAACACAATAACGTTTTTTTCTTAAAAAATGTAAACTACATTTAGACATAAATGGTAAATGCTAAAGCCTTATTGGCTAAACTCAATTTGGTATTCTCCTAAAAAATAACCACTCTTTGTTTAGAATTACAGTAACTCATTGAATTTCCTAAAGAAATTTTAACCTTACCATGTAAAAAATAGTATACTATGCAACAAGTGTGGTAAACGGCATTTGAGTGTTTAATAAACGAGTGACTTAAAATTTTAGCACACGTGTTGCATACTAAGACCGTTAGTTTTTGGGTATATTTTTGCTAAACAATACGAATACACTCACTGACATGACCTTCAGAATTGACAAACGTTAAAATTCACGTCATACGGTAAAATCTCCGAAACTGACGTGGTAAAGTGACGCTTCCCGCACGCTAGATCGGTGTGCAATTAGGTATTTTACAGACGGGTGACGAGTGACTTAAAAATTTTACCGAACCTGTTGCATACTATACTTTTCCTACGACCGTTAGTTTTTGGGTACATTTTCGCAAAACCGTCAGAATTGACAAACGTTAAAATTCAAGACGTGCGGAATATCGCCTAAAACATGCGGTAAAATCCCGGAAATGTCCGAAATCGCTCGGATCCGATGGAAAACGAAACTGACGTGGTAGAATGACGCCTGCCGCACGCTAGACAGATGTGTAATTGGGCATTTTACAGACGGGAGTAGAAAAAGATATTTTAAATCAACCGTTGACCATTCCAAATAATTTTTTTTTGCAAAGTTCAGTATCATAACATTGGAATTGATGAATTTTACTTGCATTAGGGATTTTCCTTTCAGCTGTTTTCTGCTCCAAACAAAGAAGTGGTTTCAAATTCAGGTTTCGAAATTCGTGTTTATTGGGTGTGTAGCAAAAGAAAACAATTCCACTTTTTCTACTCTCTACTGCAAAATTACCAATTATGCACTTATCAAAGCGTGCAGAAACTGTCGCTTTAAGAGGTCAGCTTCTTTACCGACTGTCACGAATTACATTTTCAGTATTTTAGTCACAAGTTTGCAAGTGATCGGTAGATTTGACATTCCGACGGTGGCGTCGTATGTTACTCAGTGATCTTTTGCAAAAATTTACCCAGAGAAAGTATAGTATGAAACAGCTTGCTAATCTCCTTTAGTCACTCGTTTATTAAGCACTCGCTCGGCTTGTGTCGAACAAAATCGTGACGGAATGAATGAATTGTCAATTAGATCCATATGTATTTTTAGGTTTAGTTCATTATTATTTTTTAAATTTTGAATTACTCAAGATTTAACTGGAACCGGCACCGCATGTTGTTGATTGAACGAATTGACGATGCGATGAGGTTTAGGTTTAGGCCCTGGCAAACGTGGTGCACGACAATTTATGGACCCAATTGCAGAAAACCACAATGTCACGCAGAATGGTCTAGCCAATGTTAGTTCGTCACTCAGACAAATACTTTGTGATCGGGGTTCCCAAGGTTCATTGTCCGCCTCTGTTGGATCGTACCGAACCTGCATCTCCCTCTACGAACGTTCCCGTGTCTATCGTTCAGCGCACCACGCGTATTCCATATTGCAAATGGTACCGAAATCATTTAAATCGCGTGGCGTACCACGGCAGGACTTGCTCGACAACTTTCACGTTACACTCTGAGTTTGCCGTTGAAATGTTTATAATAATTTTTTCAAAGCCGCCAAAGTAGTAATTACTTTACCGTAGTTAGGGTGATGTCGGAGAATGAATGTTAAGCGGGAACATGTAATAGCGGCATGTACTGTGACGTTTTTCGTTTTGGTTATTATCATTTTGCTTAAAAGCGATGCGGTAAGTCAAAATGCAAATATTTTCATTACGTCTTTATTAAAATAACAACGACGGCGAAACGCTCACACATTTTTGTATAAAGGGTGATATTTCACAGGGTGATTTTTCACGTTTTTTATGCATTAATTTCCCTAATAGCGATTTCTGAATAATGAGAAATGTGTATTTTAAAATTAATGTGCATTGTGTCCCTGAGTTGTAACTTGAATAGCGGTGATCGGTTCTAAGACGACAAATTAAACGAGTGATTTTTTGCAAATGTGAATTTACCTACAGGTCTTTTTCACTTTCAAAAGTTCGGTATAATATATTTAAAAAAAAACTCCTTAATCATTTTCATTTGAAAACGTCTTCTTGTTAGAAGTCGCTAAAGTTTTCTAAATAGTAATGAATGTGTTTTTTTTAAACTACTTTTAATAAGAGGAACATTTTGAAATATTTTTGATACAGGGTCGTACAAAAGGTCATGGCCTTTGAAAATTCAAAAAACATCTGGGTAGCGCCGCCAACAAATAATAGCTAAATTTAAAAACAAATTTCTCGTGTCAAAAAAACTGCAACTCATATTCGTTGAGTAACCGGCGTTATTTAGGATAATATGAGGAAAACCAAAAATAAATATAAAATTCTGACACGAAATAAATAACACACTGTGGAAGTGTGTATGAAGTTGTGAAGTGAGTGAATAGTTTTCACGCGGGATGTTACAATGGATTGGAATACACATCAATCTAATCAAAAGACGCACTGTTCGATATTTGACGATAAATTCCATATAAAAGAGTTATATGTTGTCACGAGATAACACTGTTTTTCCCAGATATAATATACACCGTGGTGTTTACGTATCACACAGCCAGGATTAATGAGTACTTCATCATTGTTTGCCGAGCTCTTTAGCATCTGAGTGTACTAATTTATTCGATTTTAATGAACAGGGTCGAATTATTTATGTACATGGATCTATAATTTCGAAGCTATTTTAAGGTCTTACTTTTCGATAAATTGCGATATTCCGTGAATAAAATTCAAATGACTTTCAAATTGAGTGTTTTATAGTTGCAGCAAACTAAAAATGCTTGTCATATTTAACCCGGAATATTTTTTATTCGATTCACGACTACTTTTTGTAGACGACCTTCTAAAGTATATTTGAAATTTGTATATTATTTTTGTTTCCAATTTTGCAGTTTATTAAGATAACAAATAAATGTTCAACAATTTGATCAATTCATTATTCAAATTCATAAATTATTCAAGACTGACTCAATATACAGGGTGCTATATTTTGGATCTCGATTATTTCTAGTTAGTTCGGAGTTTATTTAAAATCAAAAAATTCCATAAATATCTGCCTGCTTCCTCTATCTATTTACTATTAAATCATATAATAAGACGCATTAAACTTCTGTTAAGCAAGCTTCTCTTTCCCTATCTCGATAAGCGTTCAATTTTTGAAAAATAGTTAAATATAAATTACTGCACCTTTAAAGCATATATCATATCCACATGGGCACTACCTACCAATAGAGAAATACAAAAGACTATTATGGAACTTCCTGGTTCTCTACCAATTCAGTTTTCATAATACCATTCTGGGGCATTGATTGAGAGTGTTGAGAGGGTTCGAAAGGATCAGAATTCATTAATAGTTTCCCATATGTTCTTCATACCGCTATAAAAGGGTGATTTTTGGAAAAGAAATTTATTACGCAATTTAGATTTAAGCAACCGCGTAGCACATTTAAAAAAGTTGATAGAAAAGCTCTTTTTGCATCACCTTTTATATGCCAAGTTTATATTAATGTAATAAAATTATAATGTTAGCATGTTTTTCTAATTCTTTTCTCTCTTTTAAAAAGTTCCTTAAAAAGTAGTATTTTGTTTGTAACTTTTTTTTTGTAAACCGTATATATCTTTGCAATAATTTTTGACAGGGATCTCAATCCGAAGAATCGTTTGAAGAGCCTATTGACAAACCAGATGTTCCTAGGGTTGTCAGAAATTGGCCTCAAGAACACTTAAATTTGGGTCAAGTTTCTGGAGTTTCCGTTAATTCAGCTCTGCAGCCAGTGATTTTTCACAGAGCCGACCGATCATGGGATCAGTAGTAAGTATCAAAAAATACAAGCATGAATTTTACCATTAATTTAGAAAAATATGTTTTTAAAACTTATTTGTCGTCAATGGTAATTATAGTTAATACTTGCAGACTGATAAAACTAAGGACTAAAAATAGCTGTTATCATTAGTGCATTACTCTAGGGATAAGAGTCAATATAAAAAAAGCCTGAATATGCTTGTCACAGGATATTAAACGGTGCTATTGAAGATTTCGGTGGTACTTAAAGTTCTGATGGAGAGAAATAATAATAATAAATAAACAAATGTTTTCTTTCAAATAATGATACAATAAAACACGACATGAAATAACGTTAAAAATCTATTAACAGTTTTCTTAGAATTTCAATTTCAATTTTTTCGAACTAACATTTTTCAAACTTATTGAGAAACACTTAAACAATTTGGTGCACATATAATGACGTGATTTTTCGGTTAATTAAGTCCATGCACTACGTCGTTCATATCTGCCGATCTTGTATTATAACTATGTTATAATCTTATAATCAAGCAGACACTTCTTATTCAAACGCTCATATCTATATACACTGAAGGGACAGTCAAAGCAATTCATTTTCGTAATAATTCAAGAATTTCAAATTACCGTTTTATGTATAGCAAAAATTGTCAATCAAGTTGCCCCTTGCTCAAAATGTTTCTAAATAGTATTTGAGCTGTGAATTTTTTATTTCAGTTCATTCAATTCAACCCACCATTACCAACAAGGTCATTTGGGTCCAATAAAAGACCATACGGTGCTCACCTTGGATCCACAAACTGGCAAAGTTTTGGGAAAATGGGGCTCCGATATGTTCTACATGCCCCACGGCATAACACTCGATAAGCACGATAATTTATGGTTAACCGATGTTGCATTGCATCAAGCCTTCAAGGTAGTACTCGAAATTGTTACCAATCTTAAAATATTATGCCAAAAAATAACATTTCATCAAATTCCCGCCATTCATAGTTCTCTTGGATGTTTTTTATTTTTTCATGAATGCATGGGCAAATTCATGTTAATCTAAAAATAAGTGGCACTTAAAAAGTAATTTATCACCAAAATTGTTTGCAAATAAAACATTTCCAGCGCCTTTTTATTATGCAAGTGCGTTAATTATAATAAAATAACCATAAAAAGACTTATAGAAACTCCAGGGGAGTGCCATTTTTAAAAAAAATATCTACTCCAACGGTTAAGATAAAAAGCGTTAGGAAAATAAAAATCCATTACCCTGCATTTCGAAAGCTAACAAATTGCAGAGATGCAACATTTGCTGCAACAAAATAATATAAACGGTTAGAAATCCGAAGCTGGTTAACAAAAATTCGTAATTTTTGTTTAGCGGTGCAGTGCAGTTTATTTTGTAATTTACAAGTTTTATTGAATTTGTTAGTTTAAACCGGGTGAACTTCAGCCCACCCTAACATTTGGTGAAAAATTTACTCCAGGATCAGATACCAAACACCTTTGTAAGCCCTCGTCCATTGCTGTGGCCAGCACAGGAGAGATATTTATCGCGGATGGATATTGTAATACGAGAATCTTAAAATATAACGCCGCAGGAGAATTGCTAAGAGTCATACCAAATCCACCTGGTAAGCACCAAAAGTAGTTCTTATGTTGTTAAAATTAACTTTAATTGCACTTTATTTAATTTTGACAATTTTCACTACACTTAGAGAGTAATTAACGTCACATTCCCATAAGTTTGCAGGTTACAGATTAATAAAGACTCAGAAATTGTAGTATCAGAGCTATCACACCGTCACTTGATATAGTCGACCTTCAGGTTAACTTTGACTTCAAAATTTGGATGGATCGTGAATGCTAAAAATAATTAATTTAAAACAAATTATATTATTATGATGTATATTAAAAAATCAACATCAGATGTATTTATGTAATAAGGCTGATGGTAAATGTTCGTTTTCTTTTTATCTTTAAAGAATTTTTAAAAACTATACTAATTCAAAAGTGGCATATATTTGTTTTTTTTTTATGTTTGCGATAGTCATTTGTTTATTTTGAAACTGCCAAAAGATATGAGAGATGAAACTCTAAAACTTTTGTATTCAAACGTTTTTCTTTCTCATATAATGAACTTGAATAAGCATGATTAGTATAAAACTAATGCTACTTTGTGAGTTATTCTAACCGCAATTAACAGCCAATAACAAGTTGCAATTAACTTATTAAACTTACTTAAAAATTAAGTACCACTACTTAAAATATTACTCCCAACTTATTTCTCCCGAAAGAGATCCGCTAGTTAAAAAAAATCTATGAGACTGGTAACATTCTGCAATAAATTTTGTAATAATTTTGCAAATAATGCTTTTGAATTACTAAAGATATCTATTTTATTTTGATATTAAGTCATGACTGGGGATTTCAACTGGTTCTAGGTGTATTTTTGATAGTAAAGGTGGTATTATTGTTACAAATGTGTTTGCACTTCAAAGTATCAAACTTGTGGCATAAAAATAATATCCTATAATTATTAAGATGTTTTGTTGCTGTCAAAAGTTCTTTAAAACTCGTAGATTTCTTATCGCTGCAAGTTCCTCACTCTTTGGCCTTGGTGGAGTCAATCGATAGACTTTGCATTGCCGACAGGGAAAATATGAGAGTGGTTTGTCCCAGAGCAGGGCTTTATAGTCTTCAGGGCAAGAAGGAGCCGGCATTGACAATTCAGCAACCTGATATGGGAAGAGTTTTTGGAGTTGCTGCAAAAGGTAAAATTTACATACCTGCCAAGTTTTTGTTGCCTAATTCCCGGATTTACCATTGCCAGCAGTAAAGTTAAAAGTCCAAAAAATTAAACCTAAGGGCGGACCATAGATAAGTATAGAATTATGCAATGGGGTAATTTTTAATTTATCGATTATTCATCTTAATGCATCTATAAATGAAGCTTCTTGTTTGTAGCATTCCTGGAAAATGTATAAAGATTTTGTCATAGATGTCCAAATAACCTACCAGCAACAAACAACCTATAGTTGTGGTTTCACATTATTTTTTAAATTAACATTTAAAATATAAAATCTTAATATTTCGTCAGTCGAGTTAAATTTTACATGATTTCAATTAGAAGCATTTGATGTTAATAATTGCAATTTATCTGTGGTAGGCATAGAAGCAACTTCAGGCAATTGATAGATATATATTTAATTGCAGGGAAACTTATTTATGCTGTAAATGGATACACAAACTCAATGTTGCCAATCCAGGGCATGACGATTGACCCTGAGACAGAAGCCGTTTTGGATCATTGGGCACCTGACCATGGGGTAAAATATATACATATTTCAATTTTATTTCGTATTATTACAGTATATTGTAGAGTTTCAATAATCCACATGATATTGCTGTATGTGCGAACGGATCTGCTCTTTATGTAGCCGAAATTGGACCAAATAAAATATGGAAGTTCGAGTTGGTTCCTCCAAAGAAAAAGTAATATTTGCTGTGAAAATATTTTAGTTGTTCAAGGCTAAGGTTTTGATATATTTTCAACCTAGGTAACTTGAAATCCCTATGCATTTAAATCAGATAGCTATTAGATATATACAGGCTCTGTACTTTTGAAGTCAACATGAAAAAAATGCTTTCATCAATTCCGCAGTTTTCTATTTGGATGTAGATATTTTGTGGCAGTATTTGGTTAAAAAATACCCAGACCTAGAAAGAAATAGAGTAAAGTGCAAGTCTGTGTGTGAAGATCCTAAGACACTTTAAATTTTACTGTCCTTACGGCCAGTATATTATCTAATAGCATTGTAATTTTAGTTTAAATTTTGTTGTTAATTTATTAAAATATTGTTATTCTCTTTTTCAATTTGGAATTTCGTTCCAATTTGCAATGTAAATGTGATAAGTGTACCTATGTTCAACTGTCTATAAATTATTTGGTATGGTTACAACAAAGTAACAATTGCGCATGTAAACGCGTGAACAATAATCGAACGAATCGCTTTTAGTTTAGAGCATATGTAAATAAAAAAGTAAAAAACTTGTTTTGGTGTTTCCTTTATTAACAAAGAAAAGGTTATTAGATTCGCTAGATTGTTATTTTTATTTTAAAATATTTATAGTATAACAAATATAATCAAATGATAGAAGTACGTAATTGGTGGAATATTCCCGGCGCCTCCGCCGTTATTAAAATTGAAATTCATTAGTTATCTAGTTTAAGAACAACCAAAAATAAGCTGGTCGAAGATTTTAAAAGAAACTTTGTCGAAATTTAATATTTACTTATACACGGTGTACCAAATTGTATAAGCATTTAATTGTTAAGGATACATAATCGGTTAGATCAGCAATTTAGAAGTATTTTTCATACTGATTAATATGGCTAATACCCCCTATATTTTTTAGTCCAATTAATTAACCGAAAGTTGGCGGTATCCGTCTGAATATGTTCTGCTGTCAAAAAGAAAGTTTTTTATGTAACTAATATTAAATGTGGAGAATTAAATATTATATAGGTTATAAGTAACTTCCACGCATTTAGAGAAATGCTTTATATTCTAATCCATTATTATTATTATTATTAGAGTAAAAAATATGGCTGGTGTTCTATTTTTAGCAAATGCGTTTTCCTACTTATGCGGAAATGAGATATTCAATTATTTTCCTGCATAATGAATTACAATTTTTATTTCTGTAGAAAATTTACTTAATTTAAAATTAATGAAAAAGTGATGTTTGCCTAATATTCCAATAATAGGAAATTTTTGTATAATTTCAAAGTGTGCCGTGAATGACTGCAACAACAATAATAATTAAAGTAGAACAAAAACACTAAAAATGACAAGACACACTAAAGTAAAAAATTCTTTAACTATTCTAAATCTAAATTTCCTGATAACATTTGTCATACACTCTAATTTTTTATTGATTGCCTCTGAAATCCTTTACCGAAGTTCGACGACATTATTACAAGGAGTTTTGTGCACGTGATTTTTTATATGTCCCAAAAAAAAAGTTAAGTCGGCGCTGTTAGCTGGAAAATCCATAGTTTCGCCATTGTTCTATTTGGTACTCTAAGAGTTGCAAATAATGATGTCCAGTTTACTTTTGCTCTATAAATATCGGACCCAAAATATGCCCATGACACCACACCATATATTAATTGATTGGTACCCCTGGATTTTTATTTGTCTAGGATTATTCAAAGACCAATATCGTGTATTTTGTCTATTACAACCCTTTCTTGTAGTGAACGGAGTTTCATCAGTCCATAAAATTATTTTCAAAAAATTGTTATTCTCATTATGTATATTTCAAAAATTTAAAGAAAACTGCATCCTCCTTTGACATTGTTCTACACTTCGTTGTTGAGTTTTACGAAATTTAAATGCCTTATGTTTATATTCCTAGAAATTTCTACCTCTTCATTACTCTAGTAATAGAGGAAACTGGATGTGCTTTATTAACGAACGTAACGAAAACGTAAATTAACTTTCGCTAATTCTGCTTTAAATTTTGGAATAGTTTGTCTACTTTAAACGTTTTGCATGAATTCTTTAACAGGCAATTATCTCGAAAATATGTTCTCTATAGACCCGATCTATTATTAAAAGTAGATAAAAACTAACACCTATTTTCTATAGGTTCGTAGGTATGAATTTAAAGTAAAGCCAATGGATTCATTCTAATCAAATCCACCAGGGCAAGTGTTAACAAACTTCCCTATCAAAAGTGAAGCCTCAATCTCATCAATTCGAATACTAAATTCTCAGAAAACCAGTTCTGACATTAACAATAAAGACATCTTGTCAGATGTACAGGCGGAATGTGGCGTCAGTAAAGCAGCGGGGTTCTAACTACCTACACATAGAAAACGTTGAGTTGTAAGGTTCGAGACCTCTATTATTTCGAAAATTATACATGGGGAGTCTGCGTTGTTATAGTGTTAAAGAAGTCACACGGCCGCTTTTTTATTTGATAGAACCGTTTCCGAAACGGACCCAGCAGCAGTTACAATTTTTGAAGTTTCATTTTCAATTCGCTTTTACATCTAAATATTTCATTGGACGTTTAATTTAATAAAAAGTCTTTTCTACTCTAAATAAAACAAAATTGCGGAATCCTACCTTTTGTTTTTCCAAACTGTTAATTCAATTGTTGCGTGAATGCATCCTGACAACAATAAATTTTCTTTGGAGCGGTTCAAATTAGTTAACCTACTACCGTGTTCAAGATTTCATTTGTACAAAATCCGAAGCTTCAAAAAATATTTACGTCAAGCCAAAAAAGTAGCAAAGCGTTCCTAGACACGTAGAATATTGTGCGCGCACGCCACTGAAATTTAAATTATGGTTCTTTTATGTTTTTTCCTTCAGCAAGGATAATGTCTCAATAAGCTGACGGCTCTTTTGATTTTCACCGGGCACCGATAAAACTGGTAACGCGTGACGCAATTCTTAAAGAAATCTTTCCTGCCTGAAGAATAATGATTCAGGTATACTGGGTGTTGCTGGTTCGAGCTGGTCTCTTCGGTGGCATCGTATTGCTTATTTCTCTACTTTGCATGTATAATTGATTTTAGGCTCAATCTTCCATGCAAATTAACATACTGCATTGGGTATTAATGAGTTGTTTTAATCGTGAGCAAGGAATATAGGTGGAATAAACGACCTTGGGATTGACATTGAAATCAAAACTAACATTGATGAAAAAAAAAATTAGAAGATGACTAGATAACAATTATAGCATCTAAGCTGGTAGCTGAGCTACAGTCTTTATCGGTGCACTTTTAATTTAAAATATTGGGGTCTAAAAAAGCGTTTTAGTTCTTTGATCTCAATTTATTATAAAGAAATATATTTGTCGTTTCTGGTACATATGTGAAACAAAGGTTGGCGTACTAAAATACAAAACAATATTATTTAAAATTTGTTTATTGCCCACAATTCATAAAAATGAGAAAAAAAACTGGAGACACTGTACACCAAAATATCTCTTGTTTATAGTAATAAAAATTGGCAGTTTCAGTTTTTTTGACATGACAATTTGTAACTTATTTGAACTTATTTGAGCGTTGCTCCTATGTGGAAGGCGCCTAGTTTCACCGCATTATTTAGATATGTACTATTATGAAATATGTGTTGAATTTTGTCTTATTTGCATTTAAAAAGTTGAACGTATTTTTTCTAATTTTTTTTATAATTACTTGAAAGACGAAAAGTAACGGAAAGCAATATAAAACCAATATTTGGCTCTAGTAATAAAACAAAACATCAAATCGAATGATGCAATTGTACACCATCTACCTCAATGTATTTTACAATACACTCTCTTAAATTTTCAACCGCAACTCATGCAAAGAATTACTTTAGCGTAGACCAAATCTTTTAAGTATACATATTCAGAAGTCCAGAGGGTTTAAGTGTGCACTCTTTTGTGACCACTTCCACGGCCAATCCCCCATGAGCAAGGTGCTCATGTTAATATTGCCGTAGTGGCAACGCAAAGTGTGGTGGGGCCCCATCATGCATAAAGCACATATTTTCTCTTAAGGCGACCTGTAAATCTAGGAATACGTTTAATTGGCGCTGAAGAAAATTTAAATAACGAGGTCAATTCAAAAGGAGCAAGGAAAGAATCCCACAAATGATTATTTTTCTAATTAAAGATGCCTCGTCTTGTAAATGTAGCTTCGTCGGTAAAAAGAATATTATAAAGGAAATTAGGGTTAGGGCGAGTCGAGATGGCAAATGATATGGATGGAGTTTTTCTCATCTCAAAATTCTGCCTATATAAAATGTATTAACGTATATGTGGACAATTCCAACATTTGATTTGATTTGATTTTTTTTATGAGTATTGTATTAGCATTAGTATTAATATTGTTTTTTTATTGCTCACGTCAATATTGATAAAAAAAATCAGAAAAAATCTTTGAACTTTTGCAAATAAGTCAAAAACCGACACAGTGCTCTCAGAATTTATCATGTTATCATAAGTCGATAGATAAAAAAATATATAAATAATATATAAAAATAAATTAGAAATTCTTAATAATCGGGTCAAAAAAACCTAAAAATGCCAATTCTTATTATTATGCTATAAAATCTCAATAATTATATTTTAGTGTCTAATATCCCCACATTAGTAAGTTATTTTTGTAAAATAATTTTTGTCGACATGTAATGCTTTACATTTTATTTTCTATTTGAAATCTGCAAGTTTTATGAAAAAATTGCAGGGGGTAAAAAAGCCCGTCGAAATTTTTTTTTCAATGTCATTGCGTAGAGTTTTTCGTTAAATTTAATTAAGAAGAATGATAAAGATAGTCGCCTCCACTCATTTGAAATAAAAAATGTGCAGAAAGTGTTTCTTTATATAAATAAATAAAAACATCATTTTTCCACCATATTTGTACCTCGATCTCTCCCAAATGGATTACTTTTGATCCAACGTTTATATAACAAACCACAATTTATTTCAAACAAGGAGACACTCTTTATTTTGGAAATTTTTGGAAAGACTTTAGTGGTTTCAAGAGGTAGTAATTTAGAGTATATGGCACCTAGCTTTCGATCGATAGAAAGATCCTTTTTTTTTCAAAGAAACTTCCACAGGCTACTGTAATACTTTTTACAAAACTTCTGGATTCCTCCTGCGTCGGTTTTTGCTGAGTCGAACTTGCTTACGTTTCGCCGAGCATCCTGTTGGCTTCTTCAGAGCTTGACTATTTGTTATTTGTTATTTGGCCTTATGGTCAAGAAACCCTAGTAGATTTTCTTCGACATTTAAACTCTATACACCCTAACATACGTTTTACCATCGAGTTGGAAACTAATAATAACCTTGCATTCGCAGGTATTCTTATCAATAGAAAAACATACCTAACATTGTGTTTACAGAAAACCTACGCACACAGACCGATACCTTATCGAAAACTATCTCAGCATGAGTCACTGAATCCCAGAATTAAAGATATTAAGCGTTCCAACAACACCACAAACTTCCAATAGCAATGAGGCCGAAAGCAATCCTA